GGAGAGAATACCTCATCAAAGTCAATCTCTTTCTTCTGATCGAAGCCTTTTACCACCAATCGAGTTTTATACTTTACTAGCTTTTCACCATCTTTCTTCAGCTTGAACACCCATTTATTTTTCAATGCCTTTTTACCTTTACAAAGCTCTGTTAGCTCATAAATGTTATCTCTTCGTGCATAGCCTTCACCTAATTCTGTATGTCCTTATGAGATTGTACATCCTGAAAACATTCTGGCTCCTCCTCATCAGTTACCAACACATAATCTAGTGTTAGATATCTGGTTGATGGATGATGCTTCCTGTTAGATCTTCTGATCTGAGGTTCTGATGTAGTAGGCTGCTTCCCCTACTCAACGTCCTCTAAATCATCCTCATCAACTCCTGCTGGCTCTTCAGTATGACTGTCAACGTGTGTCTTTATCCCCAGAGTGGCACTATCTGAAGGCAAAGAAATAGGTGTAAGGTCAGTGACACCTTTATCAGCACGTCTTTGGATCCCAGATTTCTCAAAATCCACCAACTTCTGATTTTCATGAAAAATCACATCTCTGCTTTTGAATGTTTTCTTCCTTTCTGGATCCCATAATCTATAGCCAAATTCTGCATCTCCGTATCCTACAAAACTGCAAGGACTTGCTTTATCATCTATTTTCAACCATTGTTCTTTAGCCACATGCGTAAATGCTTTGCACCCAAAAACCTTCAAGTAAGAATAAGAAACATCTTTTCTCGCCCACAATTTTTCTAGAATCTCAATATCCAAAGGCGCTAATGGAGACCGATTGATTATGTAGCACGCTGTTCGAGCTGCTTCACCCCACAATGATTTAGGTAACCCAACCAACCTTAACATACTTCTGACCTTTTCTACACTAGTACCGTTCATTCTCTCTACAACACTGTTGTGCTATGGGGGTATGAGGAACTGTCTTCTCATGTCTAATGTCATGTTTTGAACAGTAATCTTCAAACACTTTAGAAGTGTATTTCCCTTCATTATCAATGCGGAGACACTTCAAAACCTTTCTACATTCTCACTCCATCGTGGCATGGAATTTCTTAAAATATTGGAAAACCTGGTCTTTTGATCTCAAAAAGAATACCCATAACTTTCATGAAGCATCATCAATAAAAGTAAGAAAAAATTTATTGCTACCTAAGGACTCCACCTCAATGGGACCACAAGCATTAGAATAAATCAAATCTAAAATATTAAATTTTCTACTTGAGGATATATGAAATGAAACTCTATGTTGTTTACCAAATAAACAATAATAACATGAATTTAATGATGTACTTTTGGTAAAAAGAATGAGGGACTTCCTTGCTGAAATTTGTAATCCTTTCTCGCTCATATGAGCCAACCGCTTGTGCCATAAGTCTGTGAATAATTACTTTCAATTATATTCACCGCTTCACTACATACAAATACCTGTATCTTGTAAAGTGTGCAACAAAACTTTCCTTTAGCAAATACCATCGACCCTTTCATTAGTTTCCATCTTTTGCTGACAAAATACTATCATACCCTATTTCATCAAAAACATGTATAGATAGCAAATTTAGGCGCATGTCAGGAACATGTCGCACATTCTTCATTATCAAGTTGCATCCAACATTTGTCTAAAGATAGATATCACCAATTCCCACAATACTGGCAAAACTGTCATTACCCATCTTTACCCTGTCAAAGTTACCTAATTTGTATGAAGTGAAGAACTCCCGTCTTTAAGTAACATGGTAAGAAGTCGCTAAGTCAGTAACTCATTCAACAAATGAATCTACAGCATGACAACACTACTCAGTTTTAGCGAAAAAAACTGCTAAATTACTTCTTCATCTGAAGTGCTAACTGCTGTATTCCGACCAGTCTTCTTCTAAATTTTCTCTTTTCTCAATTTATTTTTCGAAGCCATGCAATGTTTCTTTATATGACCCTCTTTGTCACAATAAAAACATTTGACCTTTCCTCTTGCATTTGACTGACTTCTGAAGTTACCACGTCTGTTAGGACCTCTGCTTTTATTCCTACCTCTGTTCTCCATAATAAGAGCTTATGCATCATTCCTACTCAAGTCTATCCTTTGTATTTCTTCATTAAACAAATTGTCTTTAACTAGAGTAAGTTCAAGAATACCATTCGGAGCAGAGTTACTAAGTGATACCACCAAAGTCTCCCAACTATCAGGCAATGAACCCAGAAGTAATAGTGTTTGCATCTCATCATCTAGCACTACTTTTATTGTGGTCAACTGATTTATCAAGTCTTAAAATTTACTCAAATGCTCATCAACTGATTTTCCCTCTTTTAACTTCACATTCACAAGCTTTTCTAATAGCAAAAGCTTTATTTTGAGCAATCTCCCTCTCATAGAGACTCTCCAATTTCTCTCAAAGACTATGGGCATCTGTCTCTTAACATATATGATGGAATACATTAAGGTCAACCCATTGTTTAATATATCCAATAGCTTTCATGTTCATCTTCGTCTAGTCACTATGACTTATATTGCTTGGCTTAGCATTATTACCTTCAATAGGTTCATGTAAATCCTTACAATAAAAGATATCCTCCATCATAGGTTTCAAAATAGAATAATTTGAAATCAATAATTTAATCATAGTGCCTCAGGTATTCTCTACTCCCACAGAACCTGAGCTTTGATACCACTTTGTTGGGCAATTTCACTAATTGCAAGAATAATTCACCAATCCAAGCAACTGTTTAGAGTGATTAAATATGCAAGAAAATAATCAAAGCAAACACATCAAATTTTTACGTGAAAAAATCCTCCAATGTAGAGCAAAAAAATCACGGGACAACTCCGGCCAAATCCACTATAATAAAAATATACATTACAATATTCAAGTTCATACCCCAAAACTTGAATTCTCAACAAATTGAAAATACCAAGGACAACAAAAAATCTCACCACAAATCACCAATTTAATTAAACTTGTCAGAACCCACTTTGAATACTATACCTCTAGAGTACCCAATATACACCTTAGATAAATCTCCAATTTGTACTATGTAGAGAAGAAAAAAAGCCTGTGTGAATCCACACCCAAAATATTGAAAAAAAAACTTCCCTTCCAATAGCTTGGATTTCTTCCTTTTATTTTTCAGCCAAAGTCTCTATGCTTTATATATATAGCAGCCACGGATTTAGATTTCTTCCAAGCAGCCTTTTTTTGTCTCCTCTTGCCCACAGCCACGATTTTGGGACCTTTTTGTGTCTATATATATGTCACTTTTGTTGACCTAAAAGAAAATAAAATAGGATTTAGGCTTTTTCGTCCTTACGGGCTAGACGAGCCCATATAACAAAATTATCACATAAAGGGACAGTATGGTTTACAAGAATATATAAACATTTGGCAAAGTGTCCATCTTTGATTGCGTGACTTTCGTGTTTGCAGTCTCAATACCATTGAGCCACATCAAGGATGGATGCTAACCTCTTTTTTTCTTTTTCTTTTTTTCCATGCTTCACGGAATGAGATGGCAATCGAACATCACAATCACACTTATTTTCATTTTTCAACTTCATCTTTCATGAGGAATTTCCTTTTGGATGTTGTTCTCAAAAAGCCCGGAATCTGCTTGAAAAGGAACTTCCTTAAATATTGTTTCATGATGCTGTCCAGTACATGCCAAATGAATCTGGCTGAGGGTAAAACTTTCCTGAATTTTGGTACTCAATGATAGGTGATTTTTAGCTAAATTTAATTATTAACCAAATTAGGTACCTGCTCGTTCAAATTAATTTAGGATAATAACATAGGCGTTTACATAGACCTGGTAACTTTCCACCTGTTCCCTACAAGAGCCGATCGAGCTGGACCACCCTTTCTTCACTGGCCTGCCAGGTTCAAGCTCTCTCTCTCTCTCTCATAACCATTCAGTTGGATTTTTCATTTTCAACTTCATCTATGAAAAAGTGCAATGTTACCACAAAATATCAACGCCACCATAGTCGGGCACGTAAAGTGTTCGCTATTTCAATATATGTAATTTCTTGAACAAAAGGTTTTTCGATATCTTTGATATTTTTGGAAGAAACAATGTCACTAGAAACCTGAAATAGCTAAAAGAAATATATTTCAAAATGAAATCGTAAACGCGTGACGTACCATGAAAGACTAGGAAAATAGTCAGAAACTGACTCGAGTGAGTTTCAAACATGTCTCAATCCTAGGATACATATATGTAGAGACGGATTTGGGCCCCCCCCCCCCCCCCCCCCCCCCCCCCCCCCCCATTTTTTTTTTTTTTTTTTTTTTTTTTTTTTTGGGGGGGGGGGGGGGGGGGATGTTTTTTTTTTTTTTGGGGGGGGGGGGGGGGGGGGGGTCAAAAACCAATTTTTTATGTGTAAAATTTTTTTTCCAAGTAGTTGCTCGATTTTGAATCCAATCCTGGATCCATCCGGCATATATAGTGACTCGGGTCATGGCAATTCAATGCCAAATTTAAGTTTAAATGTATCCACGTGCAAAATAAGGCAAGGAACCCAATTAAAGGTACCTAGCTAGCAGTGCATGTTCGTGGTCCAGTCAACTCCAATCAATTTTTAGGAGCTAATGCCCATTCTCTTCTTGCAAGTTTAAATGCTTGATTACATTATTTGTGTTGGAATCTGATTTCTCACGACAAATTTACATTGTACAAAAATTGACAATGAAAACAACTGGACATCTTTTGAAATTATTTTTCTCCCTACCGAAGAAACAGAACTAAACCTTGACCAACACATTTTTTATTGGCACGAGCACTCCCCCCCCCCCCCCCCCCCCCCCCCGCCGGGGGCAATGTGAGGGAGCTGTTAGCCATGCTGTATACCGAGTGCTCAAACCTGATTCCCTATACGAGGAAAAACAACAGACACCACTTCCATCTTGATTCTCAAATTTCCGGGACAGCTGATCGCGGGCACTCATTCTTTATGTAAAAACAATGTGAATACTCTAAAATTAAGTGCAGGGAGAACAAGGAATGAGCTAATTTAACTGATGTAACTTCTTGTTCATTAATGAAAATGGAGAATTGTTTGCATAATCAGAGAACTCAGAACAATCAGTTTTGTGTGGAATGCAATATTACAAATACAGAACATTAGCATGGACAAAGCAAATCATAAACTTAAATTTCATTATCCTTTTGCCTCGCAATCTCCAATGACTAAATGAGGATTGCAATGCAAACAACTAAAACAATTCAGTCATTGACAAATTTGCGTTTTGCTTTCCTCACTGGCCAGTTCACATCGTCATGTAGTCGCTCAAGAACTGCTCCTCTTGCCTTCACTCCCAAAAGTCCCGATTGGCTGGGCAAGAATATGTTTCATGGCCTCCACTCCAAGTGGGTTGTTCTTGCTCTGAACATTTAAAAAGGTATACGTAAGCACTTGTTCATTATAGTGTCCAATCCAGTAATGCGTACCAGTATTCAAAAAAGCATAAAGCTTGGGGAAGTGAAGAGACCAAGCTTCAACATAGACGAAGCCTAATCGTACAAAAACATTAAAAAAGTAACTTTTCTTATTTTAATATTATGTTAAATTTTTAAATCAATCTAAAAATTATTTGAAAATTAAAGGGAAAAAGGCAAAAAAAGTGTCGAGCGTAAAAAAAGCGCGCCCAGATGAGAAAAAAAAAATTGAAAAATGGGAAAAAGTGCACGGAAGGCGTTATGTGGCGGCTTCCCGCCTAGGCCGCTGCCGCTTTTAGAACACCACTGCATACCAAGTATTCAATAAATATATAAACATAGTTTATTTACCGCTGAACAGGTGCCTGCCCTGACGTTGCACACCGGATGATCATGGGGGCAGCAACTGGATTGATCTTCACAGCAGGTTGCACCCTCGAGAGGGCAGCATCCCCAAACATAGCAGGCGCCACCGTAAAGTTCATAGACACAGCAGCAGGTAGTGCTCGCAGGACACGCAGAGTATTCATCACAAGCTGTGGGTGGTGTGACCGGCGATGGAGGAGATGGAGCGGGTTTGGGAGGATTTTGGCCCGTCTTTGTTGGGTAAGATGGCTCTATTGCAATACCACAGAGACCAGATTTTGCTCTCACGTTACGCTGCATTCTAAGGTATCCCTTCTCTCCCCAACTCGGACCCCATGAGTTCCTCACTATCCAATAATCAACACCGTTTTCGCTTCCATATCCAACAACAGCCACACCATGGTCGAGCTCAACGCCACACTTCCCCGAGAATATACCCTGTGGAGATTTGAAATGATATAAATTTTAGAGACTAGACATTTCGTGCTGATTCATTAATAATACACATGTTATTGGAGAAAAATTACAGGGATTTTATCCTAGTAAAACTAGAGCTTGGGTGGAAAAGCCTTGTCTGCAATACCATTAAGATAAACTAATGCCAACATTCAGATTTTGACCTCAATAATGTACTAATAGTAGCATTGTACTAAAATAGAATGTATTATATGTTAACATGATTGATAACATTAAAAACCGGACGAATAAAATAAGATAAAGTCGGGAAAATTTCATAGCTCATAGGCTGTTTTCACAAGGAGAAAATTTTACCGATTCATATAATTGGAAGTCTCTCCCACCACCTTCGACTGCAACACTAATTGGCTGGTTTGCAGCTGCTTTCTGCAATGCCTTCTCATTGTATGGAGTCACATCTTCATAACCATCAATGGACACAACCTTGGCATTTTTCTGCATACAAAATCAAGAAAATAAAGTCAATTCTGCTTACTTTTTCAGTAAATAATCGAATTATTCCTTCTCGTGAAGTATATAAGACCAAACCCGATATGTGTCGCATTTCCCATCCCTGCCAGTGTAGGGATAATCTTCTTCAGTGTCAATGCCTCCATTCTTGATAATAAAGTCAAATGCATAGTCCATTAGACCACCATTACATCCTTCATTGACGGATGTATCACAATCCACCAGCTCTTGCTCCGACAGTGAGATCAGAGAACCGGTCTCGATCTTGTTTATTCCTTCCACAGCAACAATAGTTGAAAACGCCCAGCAACTACCTACATTCCCAAGAATTTTATGCACATCAAAATCATATTTCTTGACCATACAATGATTACTGAACTAGACAAATTAAAACGAAATAATTGTAAAGATTAGAGAAACTCCTCAGGTATCTAACTATTACAGACACCCTATTATTCCATATCAGGAGGAAGGCTAGCTAGCGGACAACGAGAAGACGAAGTTTTTAACTTATTTTTGTAAGGACAGTTTTTAAGTGGTAAACGTTTTTTTCAAACACAATGCCATGATTGTACTAAAGAGAACATCTCCATAACAAAGCACTGGTGCTAGCACCATATATTTAATAATTCACCAATTAAATTATGTATTATATCATCAGTGCTTAACATAAGCTAAACACGGGTACTTAGAAGATCATTCTTGTATATATATACATACTTATCTATGTATGTATGTGTGTGTGTGTGTGTGTGTATCAAGAACAAATTTAGCCCGTTTTAGACCCCCGTTTCTTAAGGTTCATTTTCAATAATACATTTTACGAGGCTCACTTCTTTTATCAACATTTCAACTACATATTTCACGAACCTTTATAAAAATCTACTAAAAGTCTAATTTTAATCCCAACCAAACATGGTCTTAATAAAGGAAACTTTGTCAAGGTCTTCAGTTAATTAAATGGAGTGGAGCCAAATCAGCAGCCTCCCAATTGACATTTCTGGGTCGGCATTAAAGTGACTTCATGCACGAGGTATGGAGGGTAGGTGGGGCATCCAATCCGAATGAAGATTTACACTGATTGCATGTTTGACTAAGCTTAAAAATTTACTTAAAAGTAAATAAATAACTTCTATAATAAATAATTTCATGTCAAAATTGAAAATAAGCAAATTGCTTAAAATATAATCCATCTAAATATACTTAAAAATTAAGAAAGTTACTTACAATTTAAATTTGACTCGATTTCTAATAATAGCCCTACATGTTTACACCATCGAAACTGAGATCCCTTTTCTTTAAAATTCATGATGAATGCAGTAAAATACTAACAATTTGATTCTTGAAGGAAAGTATCCACATTTTATTTTATGGTCAACTATTGTAAAGTTTATTTACTAATTGTCTACCGTAATATTATTCATTTGTCAACTAACCAAAAAGTCACAAAACAATTAGCTTTAGAACAGTTTGGTTTAGGTTTCAAAATTTTAATGGCGATTCGAAACTAAATCCCATACAGTTTAAAAATAAAAAAATAAAAATTTTAAACTGTTGCCAGAAATTAGACCAATAAATTGCCACCTTAACCTCCAAAATAAAGCATAAATATTAAAATTTTAATACAAAAATGAGTAACTTGATCAATTGTCAAGTACCAAATATCAATAATTAATTAATTAATTAATTATCCTAATCTCATAACCCAATTGTTGAGACTTTTTTTATTATTTTATTTCGTGTTTAAATTTATAAGTTGATAAATAATTCTTTTTACGCCAATAAAAATTGAAAATATTTTATCATAATTGGACTAGTGATATAGAGTGAACAGAAGAAAAATATTTTTAAATGGGACCACACCTTGATGTTTAGGTTCAAACAAAATTTCAAATCACCGGTTTAGGTTCAGTTTTTCTCAAACTTAGTTCGAAATTTTGTAAAAAATCGACCAAGTTATTTGACAAAAAACCCATTAATTTCATTATCATTGTACAGTTATATTTAAAATTTTAAAAAAAAAAAAAGAACCGAACAACAAAACAAGGGCATTACCGTCAGATCATAAAAAATTGTATTCTCTAATAAAGAAAAGGGCTTACCACAGCTGCCTTGATCTTTCACCGGAGCAACGGCGCCTTTCTCTCTCCAGTCAACGGAGTCCGGCAAGCTGTCTCCATCTTTCGGAGTATACCGATCACTCTTCGTCTTCGAAAACCGCTGTCTACGGTCGGTTTTGGTACCCAAATACATGGACCGGTACTCCTCATTGGTCAGATCAGCGAACCGGTTCAGACCCAGTTTATAGGTCCGATTTGCCACGTTGTTCTGCTCATCTATGTACCTTAAATTATCCTTAAAGATCTCGAACCTCTTATCCTTTTCCCCCAAACCGTTGTATGACTTTCCGTGCTTCACTAGCCATGATTCGTACATGGACAACGCCTCATCGTGAGACCGCAACAATAAGCCGTTGGTTTCGTCGTAGGTTATAATCGACATGTCGGAAGCATATGTTTGCCCGAAAAATGAGATGAAGAGGAAGAAGAAAATGGAGGACATCGTCAAATACGATGAAGGGGTCGTCATGTTTTGTTGGGACTGGTTTTTGTGTAAGAAAGGAAAGACGAAGAGTGGGATTATAAAGGAAAAAGAAAGGACATTATTGGAAACGTAATTTGTATGATTTTTTAAAATTTTATTTTTTTTTCCCTTAAAATTCTTATTATTTTTTTTTTCCTTAAAATTCTTATTCAATTACACATTTTTATGTTAAAATAATTTTATAAGAAAATTCATAATCTTTTTAATAGTGTTGAAAAATATCACTTTATATTCAAAAAAAATTACGTTAAACATCATCAAAGTATTTGCTTATGGGATTGGATTAATGGAATATCGTATTCAGAAATTAGACTAAAATATTGGTTGAGAATTAGGACAAGAAATAGATGTTAAAGGGGGCATGTGGACGAGATGTGTTAGGCAGGCTTAATAATAATAACAATTAATTTTTAATTATATATTTTAAGAACGTGTAGGAAAAAGTGGAAAATAATTTTAGATTTAAGTGTAAATTATTTTATTGAAAGAATGTTTAATTTAAAATGGTTTTAAAATAATGGGCTCAAACAGGGGAAATGTAAAGTGAATAGTGTGTGAGGGAACTCCAAAAGTGGGGGCATGAAATCGAGAAAAGAATTGGTAGGTTAAAAAGTGACACATATACCTTACACCTCTTTAAAAGTGGAGGTGCACTTCTTTTCTTTTATACTTTTAATAAATTTGTTAGTGAAAGCTTGATTCATGAATGGTGTAGGCTTGCATTTTAACGAGCCCACATTTAAGCCTAAATTGGCTTTCAACTAAAAGTTTTGAGTTGAGCGACATTTATATTAGTCTAGAAGTCATTCAATAGTGGCAAATAAAATGCATTGGACACTATTTTTGTTAGTCAAGTCATCGATTCTATCATCTGTCGAAGGTGGAATAGTTCTAAAACCACCTTGTTGGATCGAAAGGCAACGCAAGAATTGGAATTTAATGGTGTAATATGAAATATGTAAAATCACAACCAATTGATAAGATTAAAATATAGAAACAAAAAGATATTTAAGTAGGGGTACCGATATTTTATTCAATAACAATATGGAGAGAATAGAACTACAGCAATAAAGTTTCACAAATCTAGAAATGGAGTCTAGTATTTAGAGGGAAAAATTCAACCCTAAAGTAGAGTTGTAGATGAAATAAAATGTCAAAAACTTCCTTATTTGATCTCATCAAGTCCAACACAAATTTCAACTCCCAATAGGCTTCCAAATAAAATTTTAATTAGAATTTGTCAATCAAACGTAAATAGAATCATCACAATAGTATTTCAATTAGAATTCCTCTTGATGTGCACTTTAATTAGAACTCTACAATTATTTCAACAAGAAATTCGAATCACACCCAAATTCTAACAATCTCTACCTTGACACGAATTTCACTGCAACAAACAGAACTCCAAATGTTTCCCACTTGGAAAAATAAATTCGACTACAACACAATAAATTGAACTCTTCAACCGAAACCCAAACTCTCCATTCTACAAAAATATCTTCTTCTGCACAGTGTCCATGAGCGACACCTGAACCTACTCTCGGGTTCCCAAAATTTCACCTGAGAATTACTATTGATCAAGCAGGGTCGAAGCTCATCCTGTAATAGAAACTACACAAAATGGATGATCAGAAGGCCCCTTACTAGAAATATCACTTTCAACGATCCCAAAAGCATTATAGACATCATCGACACCACTGCACCTACGCTCAATGGATCTAGCCCTAACAACTAAACACAGTGTATCTGTTGAAATTAGTAGCAAAAGCGAAATCACCGACGCTCCTCTGATCAATGTTCTGAATCCCCATCACAAAAGGTACTGTACCAAACTAAATTTCCACCACGGTACTAAATTTGTCCAAATGTCGCTTAATTGGTTCTGCGGTCTCTTGGAAGAATGTATAATTGAGACTTCTTCCTTCTCTTCAGTACAACCCGGACACCCCTTTTGGATTTTCAAGACTCCACCTCCACCTAAGAATTTATTCCCGTTGGAATACAGGGTACTCAGTGAGATGAGATTCCTCTTTAAATCTGGAATATGTCGAACCTGGCCAAGTGTTCGGACCGTCCCATCCTGCAACATCAATCTGACTTAACCGATTCCACCAACTAGGGAAGACTGGTTGTTTCCCATGACACTCCACTTTACTTAACCTCCTCATATGTCTAAAACAAGTCCTGATTGAAACACATATGGTGCGAACATGCTGAATCAAGAATACACTTCTTGTCAGACTTAGACTCCACGTTAGATACTACGGTCAACATTACATCACCGCCATCTGAAAAATCATCAACTACATTGGTCTCGTTCGAAGTCAATGATTGCGTCCCATGATTTGCAGCTAAATCACCTTTAGCCTACAACTTATCGCAATCTTTCTAAACATGTCATTTCCTTCTGCAGTAGAAGCAATACAAATTGCAGTAGTTCACCTCGATCTGTCCCTCCGTTGACCACCATGAGATACCAGAGTTTTTTCATCCCTAGATGTAGCTCCAACCAGATACTTTATCTTCTCCTTTGAGTATAAAGTATAATAAGCATCTTCAATGGTAAGTGTGTCGTGATTGTACAAGATCGTGTCCCAAAATGACGAATAAGAGACGGGCAGCGAACACGACCGGATCAAGGCAGATTCTCCTCATCATACTTGACATTCAATGTCTCTAAATTTGCGATAATTTTCTTGAACACAGCAAAGTGATCTTCCAACGTCCTCCTTCCACCATGAGATGCAAATAAAGCCTTTACTTAAGATGCAATTTGCTCTGAAGACTTTTCATCATGCACAACTGCTCCAATTTTAACCACAAAGTCGTCGGTGTCTTCTCCTTCAAGATGTCCTACAAAATATTATTGAAGATGTGAAGATGAATCTGCCATAGAGCATTCATATCCTTCTGTTGTTTCTCCTGCTCGTCCAATCAGCTAACATCTTATCAAAACTCAGTAACGCATCATTTAAATCCATATATGCCAAAATAGCTTTCATCTTTTACTTGTCAAAGCGAAAATCTTGTATTGCGATTCAGCAACAGAATAACATATTTCAAAGTAGTCATATATGAAAAAATCTCAATCAAATCATGAAGAACCTGCAACCTAACTCTGATACCAATTGTTGAATGCGGAATAGTTTTGAAACCACCTTGTTGGACTGAAAGGCGACGCAAGAATTGAAATTTAATGGTGTAATATGAAATATATAAGATCACATCCAATAGAGCAATATTAAAGTAAAGAATCAAAAAGAGAGTTAAGTAGAGGAACCGGTGTTTTATTCAATAACAATATAGAGATAGTACAACTACAGCAATAAAGCTACATAAATCTAGAAAAATAGTCTAGTATTTATAGGGAAAAATTTCATCCCCAAAAGTAGAGTTGTAGATAAAATAAAATGTCAACAATTTTCTTATTTCATCTTATCAAGTCCAACACAAATTTCAACTCCCAATAGACTTCCAAATATAACTTTAACTATAATTTGTCAATTAAATTTGAATAGCATTTCTCAATAGCATTCCAATTAGAATTTATCTTGATGTGCACTTCAATTAGATCTCTACAAGTATTTCAATATGGAATTCGGGTCAGACCCAAATTCTAACACAATCCATAAGACAAATATGTCGTCACTTTTGAAAGAAAGATGTAAGTTGAATAAGCAAATAGAATTGAAATTGACTAATATGAACCAAACCAATGAGTCAGATGTCTTTAGATAAATTTCTTTTGGAACATATCATGCTATAATAAGAATTTTTAATTTCGTCAAAATTAAGAAATTGGCTAGTTCGTGAGAAGTTTTTGGTTAAAATAATTTCGTTATATTTTTGTTGTTTCTCTTTATATTTTTTTAAGGTTAACCTCTTTTAATTGGATGAATCAAATCAATATCGTCGATAAGAACCAAATTTTCAACCCCTTGTAATTTCTAGCTTTTATTACTAATAGAAATCAAATTAGATCGAGCTACTTCAGTCTAGATCAATTTCGTCTTTTATGGGAAAACAAATTTGATCTATTAAAAAGAAATATGGTATAACTTATTTGTTAACAAACTTAAAAGAACAATAGAAGACGAATAATGGTACTTATATGCAATGGAATTATATAATTGTTTACACTAAATGAGGTGTCAAAAATAGAGTGATCGAATTTTTTTGTTTGATTGATGAAATTCTTGATTCGATCATATTATTAGAAATCATTGAATGAAAAACAATTTATTAAACTCCATTAAAGGAGGAAATACTAAGAAGAAATCAATAAATGATTTTTTTTTTTTTAAATGAAGAGTCAAAATAGAGAATATTATTGAAGTGTATAAAATTTTGACTCTCTAATTTGCTCTTAATTCTTTTATAAAGTTTCTTTAATTTCTAAAAAGTTTATTTTATATAACTCAAGAAGGTCTTTTAATTTGCCCTTAATTCTTCCATAAAGTTTCTGTAATTTCTAAAAAGTTTCTTTTATATACGTCTTGTTATTTGCCCTTAATTCTTTTATAAAGTTTCTTTTGTATACCTCAGGAAAGTTCTTTAATTTTCTAGACTAGGTCTTAATTCTTTTATGTTGTTTTGTATGGTTGTGTTTGTGATTTTTCTCGTAGGGATATTTTCTAAAAAGTTGAACTCCAACTTTAAGGGTCCCTCACCGCTCCCGCCTTGGAGTATCGTGAGGGAGGTAAATCGCAGATTATGTCTCTAAGGGTACAGGGTGGAAGGCTGCTTGTACACTTGCATTTACACAAGAGCCAAATTCATATTTCAGGATTCGAACCCTTGACGCGGCAACTTCAAGTAAAGCTGGATTTCTCCACCCTCCCCTTTTACCACTTGGAGATGTGCCCTGGGGGCGCATTCTTCGACGTAGGGATATTTTCTAGGTGTTAGAAAGAGTGGTTGAAGTATGAAAAATGTGCGACAATTCTGTTTCTAAATTAGGAGTAGATGACAACCAGGCGTATAGATTTGAGGAAAGTTAATTAATGGGGTACTGTTTTGTTCATTGAT